CCATGTGAGTCCTATTTGGAGTGCTACATCTGTAGGATAACGTTCTTTAAAAACATTCTTGAAATGTTTGGTGATAACCTTCTTAAGATGTTTTTGATAACATTGTTAGAACATTATGCCCTACTGTTCTTAAAACGTTTTCAGCAGGACGTTTTAGTTTGGTTCCCAGAATGTTCTTCTGAAAGGTAGGATAACGTTCTCTAAAAACATTTTTAAAATGTTTGGTGATAACCTTCTTAAGATGTTTTTGATAACATTGTTAGAACATTATGCCCTACTGTTCTTAAAATGTTTTCAGCAGGACGTTTCCTTTTGGTTCCCAGAACGTTCTTCTGAAAGGTAGGATAACGTTCTCTAAAAACAAAAGAAAACGCCCATCTGAAAACGTTTTAAGAGTAGTAGGGCATAATGTTTGAGCGATGTTGTCAAAAACATCTTAAGAAATGTATCACCAAACATTTTAAGAATGTTTTTAGAGAACGTTATCCTACCTTTCAGAAGAACATTCCGAGAACCAAAAGAAAACTTCCCGCTGAAATAATTCCTAGAACAGTGAATGGTAACATTCTCAGAATGTTTTTAGAACCAAACATTTCTAGCTGGGTACTGTGGTTTCATCATCTGCAGAGGCGGAAATACGCTCTAATTGAAAGCTTTGTCCCCAAAATGAGTGGCTCTGTTATGCATAGGGTTACCAGACATCCTGATGCATCTGGTCCTCCTAACCCTGTAGTCTGTTACATGGGTTTTTGTGCAGGTCAATGGTCTGCAAAGGCCAAGATCCCATAGTTCCCTCCAAAAGGGAGCTTCAGTTCAGACTTTTTATCCAACAAGCATTGGATGGATAACAAAACAGTGTTATTTAGACATTCATGGTCGCCATAGGATGAACCCCAATGACGTTGGTGATCCGTGACTTAACCTGTGGTGCCACCAGCAGGTTGAAGGTTTTAATATCCACAGAAAGATTTCAACATCCACATCGTTTTGTACGGCTCTTCATGAATCCTAGTTTTATTTTGGAGATCTTTGGACTTTTCTTCTAGCGCCACAATAAGGTTTTGATGTGGGTTTTTTAGTGAAATATCCCAACAACCATCACAGTATCAAATCAAATCAAAATGTATTATAGCCCCAAATCACAAGAAATGCCTCAAAGGGCTGTACAAAGGAAACAAAAGCAAAGACAAAAACAAAATAGAAACGTCATAGCATAACAATTATAAAAACATTATACATCAACATAAGTATTGCCATGTGTTAAATGCATGTGACTGGAGTGATGGTATTGATGAACCGAAACTAGGTGATGACAATTATTTTACAAGGAAGACAAATGCGAAGAGATGGGTTTTGAGTTTGCTTTTAAAGGAGTCAGCGGAAATAGCTTCGCGGATCTGAAATGGAAGACGATTCCAAAGGAGAGAAAATGCTCTGCCACCTACGGATGATTTTTTTATTCTGGGGATGGAAAGGAGACTGGCATTATGTGATCGTGGGAGCCTGGTAGATAATGGGGTAATTAATGATGACAGATACAGAGGTGCTAGTCCATGTAAGATCTTAAAGGTTAATAGTAAAATCTTGAAGTCAGACCTTATGTGAATCGGGAGCCAATGCAATGAAATGAGAACAGGGGTGATCAAATGTTCTGGTTCTGGTTAATATTCTGGCAGCTGTGTTTTTAAAGTACTGTCCTGCTATCAGAGCTTCCCACTCTCACTTCACTGCTCCTCTGTTTGTTTCCAGGTATTGTGTCGCTCATCTCTCTGGTGATCCTATCCTACGACCGCTACAGCACTCTGACTGTTTACAACAAGCGTGGGCCAGACTACCGAAAGCCCCTGCTGGCCGTTGGGGGCGCCTGGCTGTACTCCTTGTTCTGGACGGTGCCCCCTCTGCTGGGATGGAGCAGCTACGGCATCGAGGGGGCGGGAACCAGCTGCTCCGTGTCCTGGACCGTCAAAACGGCCCAGTCGCATGCTTACATCATCTGCCTGTTCACTTTCTGCCTGGGCCTACCCATACTGGTGATGCTCTACTGCTACAGCAGGCTGTTATGGGCAGTCAAACAGGTAGGGAGACATCAAAGTCTGACTGTTTATGTTATTTTTCTGTCTGAAGGCAAAACCACACATATTGCTCGAACCGATCCTCCTCAAACAAAATATAATTTGCACAAACTCTAGGCTTCAAAGAGGATTGAGAATATGTTTGAGTTTATGTATACACAGCAGTTGGTTACAGTAGCCTCACTTCATTTCAAAATGTATTTAGAACTCCAACGGCGTCCAGAGAGTTTCACAACATCAATAGAAAACCTTTCAAATGTGAGGTGGACAAAATGCGTTCTCAAATAGCAGCCTCATAAAAAAGGGATGCATTTTGGTGCCTAAGGGGGTGGAAGGGAAGTGGAGGAAGAAGAAGCAACCATACTTCTTTTGATCGAATATTAATACACTATCTTCAGTATATTTCATACAGTCTTCACCCTTTAAAAGCCTTATAAGACTCTTTGTATCGGAGCACGGTTTGCACATTTCAGATGTTTCTGATATTTTCTAGCACCAAGAAATATATAGGGGGAAAAACGGTCCTCTGCCGGGAACACTGCCAAAGGGAGCCTCCCCCCTCTTGGGTTGGCATGTGATTCTCTCGTGATAAATCCCAAAATAGAAGCAATACCCCCAGCGTTGATAGGATTTGTTCCTCAATTTTAGTTTGACTGCATAGCAATAACACAACTAATAGATTTATATCAGCGTGTGTTTTGCTGGAGGTTTTGCCTGTAAGTAAGTGAAACTGTGCCATAAATCCCTACTCTGCTTCTACACCACTTTCTATCTTGACTTTCAAATACATTAAATGAAAGTATTAGCATGCATTGATTTTAAAAAAGCTGCCCTGACCACAACAACACAGATTGTATTTTCATTTATCACGGTCAGGCACATTTCGAGTATCTATTGCAGTGACTGGTGCATTGGGTTTTGGGGAGAGACTTTACCTGCTAGGTTAAGTAAATCATTTGGTCTCAAGGGGATAGAGACTGTTTATTCCTGAGAGCTGAAGGGGTCTGTAGCGCAGTGGATTATCCCAGAATTATGCTGTTATGCTTTGCAGGGACAAAGCTTAATACCACTCACACATCTTCTCACTAACAAAGACAATAACAACCTCTGACTCCTAAGAGGGAGGAGGAGTCGCTGCTATCGAGCTGCACAGGTCTAATGTTCTTCTACTGGTCCGTCTTATCCTCACTGCTAGGTGGCTCTTTTCAAAAATAAATCACACTCTTTGCTCGACCTTCTTCTATCAATAAGCAGATTTTTCAAAGTGCCCTTCACCTGTGATTAACACTATGTGGGTCACATTGTTGAATTGGTTTCAGCTCAGTTTCATTATCTTTTCTTCAGGCGCTATTCGAACCACTTATGCTGTCCTAAAAATGGTTCGCCATGGTCATTTAGCATAGCTTACCTTGCTTATTAGGAATAACATCATTAAAGCTAAAGATTTCACGTCATGCTGACTCACAGTGTAATTGATGTTGTGCAATTAGCAGCGCCGTTTAAAACCTCCAGTAGTCTACGCATGAACAAATGACTAAACCTAAATGGCAGCCATATTTTAGGACAAGAATCAGCAAAGGGAAACTGGATGTTCTCTCAACAGAAAGGTCACAAACTGACAGTGTTTTTTGGTGCTTGTGAAACAACCTGTTGACTTAGAAAATGGATTCTTTTTCTTAAGACTTTAAGAAGCAGCTCTGTCTCTGCAGCATTCAAATGAAACAAACCCACAAAGCATCAACACAGAAAGCAGATTCTTTATAGAATATTGCAAATATGAAATTACATAACCAGGTCTACATTCATGCGCAAACACCCTATATCTTGACTCAATCCTCACATAGCAGACATATACAGTACATTCCTGTAGATATATAGGCTGTATTAAAAGGGATTGTGCTTTGAGATCCAGTCTAGCCTTGGCTGCTAAAGCTGGCCTGTATTGTGTCTTTATTGTTGTGTTTTTATAAAGAAGGCCTTCCTGTTCTAGTAAAGAGATTTAGATCTTTGTGAGAGGAGAAATGCACATATTTTTCCCTTCTGTCTTCAGCTTTGTTCCTCCTTGTAAATACAAAGAGCTCAATTCCTTTCAGCAATATCAATATACTGTGTTGTTTGGCAAAATCCTCAGCCCTGTTTTCTAAGCACCGCCTCGTCAGTCTTGTAAGTACAACGTTTCCCTTTTGGTCGAATGTGGATGCTTCAACTCTCACCATATTTAGTTGAAATCAGTAATGGATTTTTTCAACAAGCATTTGAAACCTCATCAAACTCAGTAAAAAACAGCCATGTCAAGGATTTGTCATGAAATGGTTGTACAGTTTGATTTGGAAACATCAGAGCTGCAACAATTCGGCGGGGAAAACAAATCCCCCGTATGCAAAAAAACATGCACGGACAATATATCTGAGCAACAGCATGAGAAGCTCAGCACATGGAGTAAAGCAAAGGTCATTCTGGTTGAGGGAAATGCAGCATCAGACCGTATCGGTGGTGTGAAAGTCATAAGTGGATATAAGGGAAGCTGAGTGTATGAAAATGATTGGGTGTCATTCGCCAGCTCGTATCCAGGTAGCTGGTCAAAGAGTCGCTGATTGTGAAGCATGAATGAAAGCTAACAGCAATCTGCTTATCCGGGCTCAGCATTTCAAAACTGAACTGATCATGGAGGTATTGTTAACTTCAGGCTTTGGGAGTAACGGATAACATGTAACAAAACAGGAAAAAGGTAACTGTTGTAGAGTTACTGTCAAGGTAGGGTATGTGCAATTTGACGGACACTATGCATAGGTGCAATAGGGAAAGTGCAATATTTGATTTATGTATATGCAATAGGGAAAGTTCTGTACCTGTATATTTCTTGTTTGTTTCTTTGCCATGTGATCTCTGTTCTGTATCTATGACTGATTGTCCTAAATGTTTTATGTGTATTTTCTCGATGCCCAAGGCAAATTTCTCCGATGGGAGACAATAAAGCTCTATCTAAAATCAAAGGTAAGGTTGGACCCAAACGCAGTAAGAGAGGGAGGCAGGAATACATAACCAAAATCAAGCTTTTAATTAAGAAAAAGCTGATGAGAAAAAAACAAGGGTAATCAGGCAAAACAGCTGAATACAAAAATAATAATTGAATACAGACCGGGTGTGGGAATCAGGGGAATAAGCATGAGCCGGAACAATAGGAATCAGGCAGGTACGAAAAACACCACACATCAGGAACAAAGCAGACAAACTGACTGTAAACACAAGGGGGGGAAGGCTTATACTGTATGCAAGACTAATCACAAAGAAAAGACACAGCTGGGGAGGGGAGGCAAAACACAGACGAACCAGGTGAACCAATCAGGTCATCAAACACAGACAGGAAGTAAAAACAGACATGATACAGGGGGTGAACCCTTTTCAAATTAAAAAAGACAGAAATCACAAAGACTAAGTTCATGGGTGTTACTTAGAAAGGGATATAATGAGATTTGAGGTCAATTCTAAAATTGGGGATTACAACTAATAATGAGCATATTGCGTTTGATTCAGATTGTATTCCTTCTTTGAATGTAATCTACATACCTATAACTGAATTTGCTTTATGGTTTTCACTTTCTTTGGTTCATTTCCTTTTGAATTCAGTAGGTGAACCTATATGTTCATAAAATAGTGTGAGAGACCTTGACTGTATGGAGCATTCTCTGTCAGCTCAGTTTTTATTTCTGCTTTTTTAAACTGAAGTCTGTGCTCACGTGTTGGCTGCTGCCTGAACATGCTTAATGAATGAATATGTTATTACTCGGCATTGATTCAGGCATACTCGGTATTGAATAACTTAATGAAAGGCAGGTTTTCTTATTGATAACATCTCTGACACATTTTTGACACAACATATCTTGGTTTCTTCTTTTCTATGGTAACATTGCTTTGTTATCTTATATAATTCACTTAGGAACAAAGATGGAGTGGTAGATTGAGAGCTTTGCCTTCTGGGTCTGCTCTCTCTTCATCTTCATCGCGAGCCAGAAGTCAAAGCTCTCAATCTACCCGTCTATCCTCTTCCATACTCTCACCGATGGTCCTGAAGGAAGGGTCATGACTGAAAGAATGAGATTAGAAGCAGCCAAAATGGGTTGGAAAATGTATGGATATAATATACTGAAGTAAAAAACATTTAATGCATATTTTATTTCTATTGTATTGGCATTTGATATTGAGGGAATCCAAGAATAACAGGACATAATCAGGTTACATTACTCCTTATATTTTGATACTCACATTACTGATTACTTTTCTTACAGGTAACTAGAAATTGTAACAGAGTAAAGTTACTCTTCCAACCCCGGTTATGTTAGGATACCGCACAGCCACTTAGGGTTTAAAACAAATCAATTTTAAAGTGTGTTATGTCATCCCAAAGTGAAGTCTATGAGCTGAGTGACAGCAGGCGGAGGCCAGCGGGAGATGTGCATTGGACCACACAACGCATAAGTAAACCCAGAAGCTAGAATTAATCACTTGGGGAGCAATTGTTATTAAAGTGCATGGACATCCATCAGGAAACCTTGACGGCAAAAAGCCTCTTGGGGCAGGAGATATTATTTTTTGGGGTTTAAATGTAGCCAGCGAATATCCAAACCATCTTCCTTTACTGTGTGCTGATCATTGGTGACAGTGAGTGGGCATGCTTCTGCCAAATCAACAACACAGATACAACATTCAGTATACTTTGTTTTGTCCATTCTCTCATCATAATGACATGTTAATTTAACAAATATTTGATTGACGTAAGGTGTGTTAAATCATTGCCGGAGATAACGGAGGACCTTCTTTACTTATTATGATTGACCTGGCAATTGTTGAATTTAATTTGTTGACTACACTCTCTGTTGGCTGAGATATCCAACATGTTATCTTTCGCCATTACGCGGCTTTGTTGAATACTCGATTCGAATTGGTCAATTTGGACATTACAAAGATTGTTAATAATTACTGCCGGTGCTGAGGAGAAGAGACCATTTCAATTCAACGTCAGCTGTGAAACAGACATTATTTTTTTCCGTCAGAAAACACCAAGAAATGTGTGATGTGAAGCTTATTATGTGTTTTCTATTGTGTGCGTAATGATTTTCAATGGGTTCCTGGCAAGGTTATAGTTTTTTGGCAGTGTTTTTATTGAATTAGGCAGGCTTTAAGTTATGATTCGGATGGAAAATATGAATCTGATCCGTCAACACAGTTAACAGCCCAAGTAGAGATATCAGACGCAACAAATAGAGCTGGGATTGAGGGATTAAACTATGTCCGGATATTTTACAATGAGCCAATTTACAAGCTAATTGTCTGTCAGACGATAAGCAATGGGTTGTTAGATTACATTTTGGCCAATGCGTTCCTCCTCTTTTGCTCTCCACACAAACTGCTTACACAGCTAACGCCTGCTTAAACGTGATTGGTCGTTATTCCTTGGACTACATTGCCTACTTATTTTCCGCATGAATGCAGAAACTGCTTATAAAGATTAAAAGGGCTAACTTTCCATGGAACTGATACAGTGCTCCATTTATTTGCAAATGCATGCAGCAAAAGGCTCCTTGCACTTCCCCGTGATGATGAATGACAGCACAATTACTGCCTTCAACCCAATCGTGCATGTTACAAGGCCGGGGGGAAAGTGAATTATATGTTCAACTTCCTTTTTTAAGCACAAGTGAACTGGACTTCCCGTGCATGAGTAATTACCTCATGTTATTAAAGTAATCACATACATTAGCAGAGCTGAGCTTGAGCTCCAGATGTCCTGCTAAATCCCCTGGTGGTCGTTAAAACTGGGGATCATTTGCATCAAATGTGTGAGAGTCTCAAAAAATGAGGTTGTGAAAAAGGTACTGGGCTCAGCTGACTGAGGGTCTCATGAAGTGACGCTGCTTTCCAACTCTTTCATCCAAACAGCAGAAGGGTGAAGAAAGGGAGAATAAAGAGAGCCTTCTGTGTGTGAGGAGATCCACAGAATGGTAAAATAACTTGAATTGGATTAGGATTAAGATGCAGTTAGATTAATCCTCTTGAAAAATACATTTCAAGAGACAAATGTAGATCAGTTAAATGTGTACACTGATATAAAGGGAGATATACTGTATTGCACACCCTGGGTGTCTAAATTGGCTTTAGTCAGTTGATTAATCGCACAATTTGAATGGAATTTGCACCGTTGAAGTACAATATCAATGTAGGCGAGTCCTGCTTTATTACACAATGCTCGACTTGTCTTCCATAGTGCCCCTGTGTCAACATCCTGTTTCAAAACCTTTATTGTTTTGAAGCGTGTTTCTACATTAACATCAATCAAGACAAAAATACTTAAGCATATACTGCAACTAATGGGAATTTAAACATAAAATGCAAATTCATAAATACTTTCAGGTTCATATTTTGTATTTTGTTTTATTTTTCTCATACTGCCTATGCTGCAGCACCTCTTGTCACCCTCTGTCTGAAACCAGAGCCCAGAAAACCTAGAAAAAACATGGACCCCTTCAAAAGTAACACACTCCAACAGTTTTAGTGACAGGCGGATTTCCTAAAGCATTATACCTGTGAAAAGGGATCCACACTCTGGCTCCATATCTATTTCAATCACGATTGGTGATCTTCAAAAAAAGAACATAAACACAAAACACAAGCACTCAGATCAAGTGTGTACTTTTTTTTTTTATCGAGCAGAAACCAAAGCGTTTTCAGCAGGAAGCAATCAGTGCAGCGTCTGCTAAAAATGTATTTTGTTGGCACGACGTGCACTCGAGCCACGTTTCACAAGACCTTGCATTGATCTTGAAGAAGGCTTAAGGGTAGGAGTGTAATTTGAATAAAAGAGAAACTCGCGTGGAGTGTGCAAAGCCTTTTTTTTCTATAATACAAATAACATCAAAGTGAGTGTCTTTTTTCATCACTTTCTTACAGTTGCATTCTAGATCAGTGCAACGCAAGGACCAGTTAATATGTTCATTATTAATGCCTTTCCTTAAGCTCAGATGATGAAATTAATTAATACTTTTTCACATGTTTCTTTCTCTGGAGAATGCATAACAGCTTGTGCATTAAGGGAATCTTGGATTTCCGCACACTAATTGAAAGTTTATGAAAGAAAAGTTGTGTCGGTCTAAGCCTCCTACTGCAGTGAAATGAAAGAAAATTACTAGCTGCCAAGAAAGTGATACTTAAATTGCAGCTGTCACTCTCTGACAGAAAGTACTTTTAAGTCAAAGGAGCACTTCAGGAATAAAGGAAAGAGCCATTTGAAAGACTAAAAGCTTCACTTTGTGTCCTGATTCTTTCTCACAGGTGGGTAAGATTAGAAAGTCGGCAGCGCGGAGGAGAGAGTACCACATCCTGTTTATGGTTCTGACCACAGCGGCCTGCTACATGCTGTGCTGGATGCCGTACGGCGTGGTGGCCATGATGGCAACATTCGGCCCCCCAAACATCATCAGTCCTGTGGCCAGCGTGGTGCCCTCGCTGCTGGCCAAGAGCAGCACCGTCATCAACCCCCTCATCTACATTCTCATGAACAAACAGGTGAGGCAGCGCCGTTCAACATGTACAACAGCTTTATTTACACAGTAAAAAAAGACAAATTACAACAGCTGAAATCATACAAATGGTCTATTTAAATACCAATTCAAGTGTAGGAAGAGAATTCACTCACAAATCAAAGTCAAGAAGAACACCCCAAGGCTGTTTGAGAGTGAGGCATTCACACTTCTTTATTGAGTGAGGAGAACTGCAGCAGCCTGCAGAAGTTAGATGTACAAATCAATGTGGAGCAATCCTTTAGAGGCAGTGTGGTGCACAAATTCCCACAATTCAGAGTAAAAACATCTAATGAAAAATAGGCCTCAAGAGAGAAGAGTGGATAGAAAGAGGCTGAGAGGGCAACATAATAAACAGCGACTGCAAATAGGTTCTCTCATCCCTCATGTTACAGCACACTGTTCGGTATTTAATCCTGGCAATCAAATTGTTAATTAAATTCCACCTCAATCATCAGAGAGGAGCATTAGCACCTGCTATTACTCTCATTGCACCCAGCGAAGACATCATTAAAGATGGGATTTGGCACAATATTCAGAAGGGAAGATGAAGTTGCCAAAACACATTGCACTGAATCGAATGCTCCCCGGGAATTACTAATAGCTGCACCGCAGCTTAAATGGGATTTCCCTCTCCACAAGCATGCACTAATTTCCGCAAAACACCACTTAAAAAAGAATTTTATAGCATAATCCCCTCTCACAGCATTAATGACAATGGTGCCTACTCGCAGCACGGTACAGCACGGACAGTTTGAGACTCTTAGCCCTGATCCTGATTTGCATGCTCTGTGCATTGAAAAGTAATCCAAGTTACTGGAAATATACATTTACAGTATGTTCAGGGTGTTTGCACCTTCAGTGTGTTACAATCACAAGCAATTAAACATTTGATCATTTATCTGGACAAAGGAACATAAGACCCACAGCTCAGCTGGAAACCTGCATGATTCAAAATGAATGATAAATCTCCTTAAGCTTCACAATGATCTGCTAAGACGGTTTTTTTAAAATCTCCGTTATATAGTCCTCTAATAGTTTCATACTTTACCAGGTTCCTTGTTTCAATACTCTTCCTATGACATGCCAGACAAACCACCTGAAACTGGGGCTGGGTATCAAACCTTCTCCACCGTTTGCATTTCAAAATGTTCCACAACAACCGAGTATTAAAACTGTTGAGTAGGGCTGGGCGATATAATCAAATACTTATCGTGAGACCGACTGTTTTTACACAATTTGCACTGCTTTCTGGCAATATTAGATTTACAGAATTTTGCATCAATGTGATGAAATATCTTTGTTATGTATGTAATTCACTGAATTAGTCATTCCCATCTGGTTATGTTGTCTACCCCATCTGCTGCTGGCTGTGGTAAACCTAGCTAAATGTAATGCTGTATAATGACACCTCCTTTAGTCATGAAGGTAATAATCCAATATTAGAGGATTTGATCCAATTGCATGGTCATTTTGGAGGCTGTAGTTTTTGGCTATGTTAAGTTGGTGATGTTTAATTGTAGTCTCAGTTTTTCATAATTAGTCCATTTATTTTATTGAATTTCTATTTGTTTTAGCATTGTTTACCATATGATTTAGCAACCGGGTGTAGTTTCCAATCAGAATTTCCAGAACATTTACTTTATAATGATATGCAGTATATCAAATTTGCAATACAAAATACCATAAGAGGTTTACTTCAATGGATATTGCCCACCCTGACTGTCAAGTATCAAAATTGATGCCAAATACGGTGCCAAATATTGGTGCTTCCCCAGTTATAAAAATGTTTTTGTAGAAAAAAAATGAGAAATGCATTGTTTTGGTATCAGCAAAGTATTTGTTTTTGGTAAAACGGATACAGTTCAGGTGATACCCAGCCCTACTCTACATCCATGTTAAGCCCCAGTATCATCTACACACTATTATTACTACCTCTACTGTTATTCTAAAGCCATCTAATTCAACATACATCAGGATATTCAAAAGCAACATTTCCGACACACGTTTTCACATCTTATATCAATCCACAACCAATGGCACAAGAACATTTTGTAGAATAACAACACAAATCTCAGTTATAGGCAAGATTTTTCTGACTGTCTGCAGCAGAATCACAACCAATCATCCTCTCCACACTAAACCACAACCTCTAGATCGCAGATGTGGCACTGATTGACTGTAAACGTAAAAAAATCATCCTAGCGTGAGACAACGCAAACCTGCTCCCGTAACCCGTTCAAATTCCTCCTTTATAATGGTCTCCGCTGTGAGCTGCCTACGGTACAACCCAGTATTAAAAGGATTCAGGAAATATGAGACATTAATAGTCGTAGGAAATGAGCTTCTGGCTGTTACATGACAAAGAAATAACCCTGCACATACGCAGACTACATGTACAGCAGTGGTGAGCTCCAGGGAGGGTTTCACGTAAAGGGGAAATTACATTCAATAACGAGTGAACCATCTGACCGTCGAAGAACAGGGGCGGGAGATCGCTGAAGCGTGGTGGAGAAAAACAGCTGACTTCAGCGATATCTACTGCGTCACACCTCTCACTGCAATTAAACTCAATGTTCCTGCAGTCCCGGTGTGAAGCTAGACTGTGTGTACCTGAACAGACACAAGGCAGCCCGAGGAGAGTGTTCAGGCGACCGCGAGGCACAGGGTTTCCGCTGTTCGGCTCTTTTTGGCCACAATTACTTTAATAAAAACATGTTACTATAACTGAACCCACAAAGGACAACCAGGACGTTCCTCCCTGTGGGGTTTTAAAGTGAGAGACAGGCTTCTTGACACTGAATGATTATCCACTCTGAAGTGTGAACAAGGAGCGTCAGGTTGGCATGCACAGGAGAGTAATTAAGCAGTGAGTGTGAAAGAAGCCCCTTCCTGACAGCGCTGATGAACTTATTTCACAACGAGATGTCAGGGGAAAGTCAAACAGGCGATGAAATGTACGGCGGTGACACCATGTCTCCATGTTTGCAGACAGGTCTTTAACACATATCTCCTGCGTGTGTTTGTGTCTGTTGGATTTATGACATTCAGCGTGGATGACTTCTTTATTTATTTACAACCCTTTGGACCATTAAAAAAGAAAGGAACAAAAATCACAGATATCCACTGTTTTGAACAGTGGCATTTCCTTTAAGTGGAGACCCACGCATACTATTGAAAAACACAGAGTTTACACCATTGAAACACACCCAGTTATTGAAAATTCTTCTATCTAAAAACTGATCTGTTGCTACCCTAGTCAGCTCCACCGCTAACGTGGCTCAGCTAAAGCAAAGAGAACGTCTTTTCCAGATCCTTCTTGGAGACTCTCTCAGGCAGTCTCTGGTCTAGTAAACCAATTTATTGAAGACAAGTTCCTTCAGAAGCCTCCATGTTGATCCCTCCCTGGAGCGCTATGGCTTATGTTCTTCCAGGGTCTAATTGGAAACTTGTAAGCGCCAGCCTCCGCGTCTCCAGTGGCTTTATTGCACCTCTCCCTTAGTCAGCCAGAAAAGGCCGGAGTGTGTGTTTGTTTGGCTCAGAGGGTCAGGTTTCATTTCTCAGATGTCACAGTTGACGGTGCTGAAGCCCGGCAGAGAGACCCGCCCCTTCCTCCTGAGGTCCCGCTCGGGCCCCGTGTTGATGCGCTGGATCAGGCTCTTCTCGTACAGCAGGGGGTGGTAGGCTCCCAGCGTACAGGCGGCGTCATAGTAACGCTCGTGGTAGTGGCACAGGTCCGTCTGCCTTGTGGAGGGAATGTACTCGTACACGTGCACCTGCTCGCACAGCGCCATCATCATGAGGATGCCTGCAATGGAAACAGAGAGAGAGAGAGAGAGAGAGAGAGAGAGAGAGAGAGGGTCAGGTATTCATGTTGGAAATAATTCCTGTCTTTCTTTAAAACGATTTGATACTCACTTACACAAGATTAGGATTGGAAAAAAAAACTTTAACAAATAAATCAATACGTTGTTAGACGTTGAAAGCCAAATTATAGGCTGCCATTTTATTCTTTCTTCTCTAAATTGCATCTATTATCATAAGAGGTTAAGCAGAGAGCAGTACGCTTCTTCCAGGGTTTATTTGTTTACATGCACACAGTGTTACATTCACACCTAAAAGCCTCCCAGTGCAATCCGT